CGGCCTGCGCTGGCCTCGCGTGTTGCTCTTCGGAGATTCCATCACTGAGGTACCGCTGTGCTCCCGGCCCCGCGCTAGCCTGCGAGTGTCGCCTGCGCGGGCCTTCCACGCAGACCGCTTTGAACAGTAGGGCGATAAATGATCTTGCAAATCAGATGCAATCAGGAATAAAGTAGAAACGGGTGCTGTGGCGCACACCTGCAATCCTGGCGTTCTGGAGGCTGAGGCAGGAGGTTGCAGGTTTGAGTACAGCTTGGGCAATTTAGGGAGGCCTTGTCTCAAAATTTAAAGAAGCTGGGGTTGTAGCTCTCTCTGAAGGCCCTGGGTTCAACCTCCAGTACTGCAGAAAAGAAAAAAAGATACTCTTTTCACCAGTTTGAGTAGAAAAAAATTGTAAAGGAAGATAAAATTCCTTTCTCCTGGTTTTCTTTTTCTGACTTTCAGACAAAATATTGCAAACCAGGATCTTCGGTATACGCGACGTTGTTTCTAAGCACAGGAGCAGTGGGAGCTTTTCGAGTTCCGTGTGAGGTGTGTGGAGCAGTGTAACCAGGGAGCCCTGGTTTTCCTTATTTCTTCCAGCGGTGGAGGCGTAGTGGGCCGTGTTTGGTACATTTAGATATGCACAGTGCTACCGTTCATCGCAGATCTGTGCCTGTACCGGACGTGTCTTGCTCTTCTTCCCGTCCAGTCCCCCTTCGACCCCAGTCCCCTCCTTATTCACGAAAGCTTTGTTTTTTTCTTGCGCCTTCTCTCCCCTTTCCACGTCCCTTGTTCCCCTTTTCATTTGAACATTTTCTTCCCACTTCACAGTATCTGTTATATATCTTGGTCCTCATTTCCACTTCCAGTTTCTCACACCAGAGAAACAATGAGGTTTTTGTTGTTTCGTCGCGTCCCCGTCTCCATCCGCACCCCACTCCCGTACCTGGGATCGAACTCAGGACCTTGCACTTGCACAGCAGGCATGGCACCACTGAGCTACATCCCCGGCCTGCAATGAGGTTTTTAACATGTGTGTTCAGTTTATTTCACTTAAGAGTATAGTCTCACGGTCCATCCTTAGCTAGAAATGTCTAAACCCATTCTTCTTTATGGCACAGTAGTACTCCACTGCATTAAAAAGTCTCCTGCCCCTTTTCAAACCAGGAATCAAACTCAGGACCCTGTGCTTGCCAGGCAGGTGTGGCTGCTGAGCCACAACCCAGCCCGCGTTTTTATCCATTCATCAGTTGATGGGCATTTGGGTTGTTTCCAAGATTTAGCTATTATAAACTGCTGCAGGGGTGGAATACGCAGTAGGATTTTTAGTTTTTGTTTTCATTTTGGTTCTGTGCTCCTGCTAGACAAATGCTTTCTCACCAGGCAGTATTCCCAGGACTTCTTGTAAGACAGGATCTTGCTGAGTTGCCTAGACTGGTGTCGAATTTGTCATCTTCCTGCCTCGGCCTCCTGAGTAGCTGGGCCTACAGGTGTACAGCATCGTGTCTGCTAGTTCTTTTTAATGAGCGTCTCTGGATAGCCGGTGTGCCAGGTCAGGTCCCAGTGCAGGGCCGATGCTGGACTTCGGTCTAAGTGGAGAAGGAAAAGCTTTATTTCCACACGCAGGTGAAGCTCGGTCCCCAGAGAGGCAGAGCCTCGGGTCAGAGGGGCGAGAACGCAGTAACGTTCCCCTTTCTTCAGTTTTCTTTCCAGCAGGGCGGCTGGGGTGCGGCGCTGGCTGCCAGGCTGGTCAGGTGAGACGTTTGGGTTTCTCCCCTCCCCTCCCTTCCAGGGCCTGGGAGCTTACGGGAGCGGCAGGTGGGTTCGCGCCTGGTTAAAGCTCAGTGATCCGTGAGGGGCTGAGCAGAAAGCAAGCTGTGTGCGCAGTGTTCAGAGTCGGGAGAGGGCAGAGAGAAAGAGACGAGGAGCCGTGTGGTGACAGCGGGACCGTGGGTTGGCCACGCGGTGTCACCGTTCCCGCCACAGCTCGGGTGAGCCTGTCCCACTTCCTGGGCGCCAACCCTGCCCTGGCGGCCTTGCTGTCTTCCTGTGCCACTTCCGGAGGGGGAGGCGAGCTTGGAGACGCAGAATGAAGGCCTCGCTGGGCATGGTGGCACAGAAAGGACGCAGCTTCCCTGCCACCCCCCTGCCCGGAGAAAATGCTCCACCTCAGGTGTGAGCAGGTGCTGGCACCGAGCCCACTGCACCCTCAGCTGTGTCCCCGGCCCTTTCTCTCATCCCGGAGTTGGGTCTCAAGGTCATTGTGTAGCCAGGCTGGCCTTGCACTCTGGATCCTCCTGCTTCAGCCTCCCAGAGAGCTGAGGTCATAGGAGCATGTATACCCTACACACACTAAAAAGGAATGTTCTGGGCATGGGGGCACATGGCCTGTCATCTAGCATATGGGAGGCTGAAGCAGGAGGGTCCAGAGTTCGAGGCCAGTCTGTGCTACATACAGTTAAAGGCTGACCTGGCTCCATCTCGAGTCTGTTTCAATAAATATGTTAATAAACCAGTTTAAACTGAATCACAGTCACTAAGTCAAATCCAAAATCTCCCACTCACCCCAAGCTAAACCATTGTTTCAGGCTGGCCTTGAATTCAAGGTGATCCTCCTGCCTCAGCCTCCTGAGTGCTGAGATTACCGGTGTGTGCCACCCTGTCCACTGAGTCTCAGCTTTTTAGTGATTGTCTAGCTACTGTACTTGCTCAGATAATATCCACCCATTGCAGACTGGATTCTGAAAGCACCAGCAGTCTTCTGTAACCAAAGGCGGCCATGAGGCAGGTCTGCACTCACAACTCATCTTGCCATGATTTCTCATTTCAGAAAATGCGATGTTCTGAATCGTGGGTTTTCAGGTTACAACACCCGCTGGGCCAAAATCATCCTTCCAAGACTGATGGGGAGCGGAGACAGCCCTGCAGCAGTGACCGTTTTCTTTGGTGCCAATGACAGCTCCCTGAGAGGTGAGGGTGGTGAGAGCTCATCGTGGTCCCCAGCCCCGGCTCATGGTGGCTTCTTGGCAGCCCGCGTCTCTCCCTCGCGCCCTGCCAGGTGCGGGCCTGCATCTGCTCTCTCCTGGGTGTGAGGTAATGTCCCCATTTCCTCTTCACACACTGGGTCCCTGGGGTCACATACTTGCCAGGGCATTGGTCCAGCGTGCCGGGTGTCTGAAGAGCAGGCCTCCCCTGCTTTTTTTTTTAGTCTTGGGGATGGAAGCCAGGGCCTTGGCGCCAAGTTGTGTCCTGGCCCCTTTTTATTTGGAGACAGAGTCTTGCTAAGTCACCCAGACTAGGCCTGGACTCTGACCCTCCTGCCTTGGCTTCCCCTCCTGGACCCGCTCCTTCTGAGTCTTCTGTGTGGTGATGGAAATGATAAAAATCAGCCGTGGGTGGCTTTGGGAAGCCAGGCAGCTTTCAGAATGTTCTTTGCCCCACCCGTGCCCCTTCAGGGGCAGCAGCGGTGGCTGGACAAGGAATCGCATACCCAGCACAAAAATGGCGGGCAGTACAGCTGTTGGAGACCAACGAGTCACTTGGAAAAAATTGACATTTTGTACCCAAACCATAAGAAAACAAAAAAAGCAACTTAGGTGAATTTTTATCTAATATAAGGCAAAAACAGATACATTGTAAACTAAAAGCAGTGGAGGAAGTCGCAGAGGAAAAAGCCTATGTTGGAGCTGGAGTAGTTCTGTGGTTAGGTTCAAGCCCTTGCACCACAAGAAAACAAACGTCAGGAACTTGTGAAAAAGCTGGGTGCTGTAGAAGCACACCTGTGATCCTAGCACCCAGGAGGCTGATGCAGGAGATCACCCCAAGTTCAAGGCCAGCCCAGGCTACCTAGAGACCCTGTCTTAAAAACCAAAAAAGAAAATGACTCATTAAGGAAAACACTTGGAAAATATAGATGGGAAAGGGTTATCGCTTTTGTGTAGTGATCAGTATGAAAAACGGGCAAGACAGTGACTATCAAGGAAAGCACTGAACAGCTGATAAGATCTGAAAATGTAGGAACTTCAACTGCACCCGGAATTTTGATTTTTGAATCGGGAAAGCAGCCTTAGGTGGTGCCCAGCCAGCCAGGTTGTGGTGAAGGAAGGAGCCTTCCGTCACTTGGGGCGGAATGAGGGTCCCCAGGAAGCCACCAGCCTCTGGGCCAGGGACGTCCCCTTGGGGACAGCTCTGCACGGGGTCCGAGCAGGAGGCCGCAGGTGGGGATGAAGTTCTCGTGATGCTGTGGGCAGGCAGAAGCAGGACACGAAGGCCCATAGGGAGTGGTGTTCTGGGGGCACAGGTGTGGGTGAGCAGTTTCTCCTGCACGCTTGCAGGTTGGCAGAGGGTGGGGACAGCCTGGCTGCACCGCCTGCCCACCCAGAGGCAGGAAGGCAGGCAGGAGAGCGAGTGACCTGCTGTTTCCTGGCTCATTTTCACAGCCACCCGACAGGGAGATCCTGTCAGTGTCCATTTTGTCTTCGTTTCATTTTGGGGCGCTTCTGAGACCATCTCACTCCAGTTCAGGATGGTCTGTAACTCGCTAGGAGGACGAAGCCTAGCTGTCCTGGAACTTTCAGCGATCCTCCTGCCTCACTTTAGTATTTTTGAGACAGCTTTGGTAAAACGGTCAAACTTGCAGCCGTCCTGCTCGGCCTCTTTCCCCGCCTCACCATGAGATAGGCGCAGACAGCTTGGGCTGGGCCGTGGGAGCTGTGACTTGTTTAGGGAACACGAGCTATGTCGGCGGCCCGCAGCGCGTCTGGCCTGCCGCACGCTCACTGTCCCCACAGAGGAGAACCCCAGGCAGCACGTCCCGCTGGAGGAGTACGCAGCCAACCTGAGCTGCATGGTGCGGTACCTGGGCTCTGTGGGCGTCGCTGAGAGCCGCGTCATTCTGGTCACGCCGCCCCCGCTGTGCGAGGCCGCCTGGGAGGAGTGGTGCACGGCGCAGGGTGAGGATGCGCAGCGGGCGTGGGGAGCCGGGATGGGAGCCGTGGCCCTGCTGCTTTGCCTGCGGTCAGCAGGAGTGGAGACCCCTCCCTTACGTCTTCCCGAGGCCATGAGTTCAAGGCCAGCTTAAGCTGCAGTGAGACCCGGTCTCAGAAACAAAGGGATTCCCTCTGGCTTTGGCAAGGCTGGAGCCCTTGGCCTGGCATCTGCTGACCTGTGTAGCTGCCACTCTCCAAGACGCCAGTGACTCCCCTCAAAACTGCAGGAGTTGGCACCCGGGGGGAGTCATGTTCGGCCGATTTCCACCCTCGTCTCCTCTCCCCTGCGAGGCATCTCGCTCTGATGCCAGCCCCGTGTGGAAGTGGACTCCGGGCTCTGCTCAAGGAGTTGCTCGCTGTGGGTGGGTGTGGTTGTCCTGTGAGCCAGCCATCTCCGTCCCACAGCGGAGCGTGACAGCTCTGGGGATCTGGGGACAGGCAGTCTCCACCGACACCCTGGGCCACTTTCCTGCTCCCACACCCAGCACTGACACCAGCGCTGCCATCCGTTGTGCCTACAGGTCACAGACTGAACCGCCGGAATTCAGTGGCCGGAGAATATGCCAGGGCGTGCGTACAAGTGGCCCATGACTACGGGACCGATGTCCTTGACCTGTGGACCCTGATGCAGAAGGACCAGGTAGGGGACTCGCCTGTCCAGGACAAGCAGCGCAGGGCTCCTGGGGACCAGTGTCCTCCCACTGCAGGGAAGTGGCCTTTCTACCTCAGGACGTTGAGTTCAGCCACCTGCAACCCTGCACGGCCGCAGTGTTCAGGCCGGGCCCTGCAGGTCCTGTCCAGCCGCGACCCAGTGACAGGACAGATGGCAGAGAGTGGGGTGGGGCAGCGGGGCAGTGGGTCTTCCACCTCTGGCCACCGTCCTGTGATGCAGACTAAGCAGGATGGACGCGGCCAGGAGGCACAGACCATTTGAGTTGCTCGCCTCCCCACACCCCCGGGGGTTCCCCAGGTGAGCTGGACTGAGGCTGCTGTTTGCTGCCTGGACAGTGCGATCACCCTGGAACCTGTGGGCCACATCCTAGCAACCTACTCTGGAGCCTCGGGCTGGGGAGCCTTCTGTGGCAGGCCACACAGGAACATTAGCATTTAGGAAGATCACCTACCCCCCCGGGCATGGTGGCACTTGCCTGTAATTCCAGCACTGGGGGAGGCTGAGGCAGGAGGCTCACCAGCCTGGGCAACTTAGTGACTTAGCAGGACGGCCCTGGGCTCCTGACCGGCTGCCCTCCACCCTCCTAGGACTTCTCCACCTACCTATCTGATGGACTGCACCTGTCACCAAAGGGGAATGACTTCGTGTTCTCACACCTCTGGCCCCTGGTGGAGAAGAAGGTGTCGGCTCTGCCCCTGCTGCTCCCCAACTGGAAGGACGTGGCCGAGGCCAACCCTGAGCTGAGCCAGCTGGGGGAGGGAGGCCATTCGTCTACATCCTGAGCCGCAGGGTGCCAGGCTGAGGGCACAGCCTCAAGCTCAGTGGCGCTTGTGGCCCTGGGTCACAGACACTTAACAGTGCGTCACTCAATAAACGCGCAGGGCTGCTCAGGGAAACCTCTGCTCCATCCGTTGTCATGATAATCACGTTTATTGACTGATCTGGGTATCACCAGTGCCATGGCTCCAAACACCCTGAGCAGCTTGTTCATCCTGGACATGGCACAAAAGGTACAGACAGTGGCATTTTTTAAAAAGTCACAATTTTATAAAAAATGGTTTTCCTCTATTCTGCTGAGAACTGTCACGCATACACAAGCCCAACTCACCTTGTGTCAGATTCTGAAAGTGTAACTGAAATACAAGAGTAGTGTGACTAGGCAGGAGTGAGCAAATGCCCAGGTACAAGTTCAAGTACAGTATAACATCTGCGGGACATAGCGCTGGGAAGAAAGGCACAGGCAGCACAGGTCTGAGCCCTCCACGTCCTGCCCGCATGGGCGGGCAGCACCCTGAGAGCCTGGACAGCGTCCGTAGGTGGGTCTCGCAGGTCACCCTCTGCCCCAAAGAGCTAACCTCTGCACTAGCAGGTAGGAGTGTGTGGCTGGGGTGATCTCCTAAGACCGAGGCTCAAAACTTGTAAAAGGGCCAGGCCAGGGCGAAGTGCGGAGGCCCAGGCTGCCAGCACCAGAGATGCACAGTGAGCTGGGGTCTGCATGCAGCTGGCCCTAACCACAGTCCTCCTAATCCCAGTACAGCTGGCTTCAGTCAGGTAGGGACACTGAGCCAAGTTCGTTTCACGTAAGATTGTCCCTGCTGTGAAAAGCTTTGGGGAATACCAGGAACAAAGTGACAGCATGGAGGTAATGAGTAACCAGGTCTGTCTCTTTTCCTTTCCTTGAAGGCAAAAAAAAGTTCCAGTTGTCCTCCCAAATGACTACACACGCTCCTCAGTCGGGCGTGCGGAAGAGCGCCTGGCGCTCCCTCCTCAGTGCGTTACCTCTGGGACAGGCAGGTGTGCAGAAGCACGCGTCCTGCTCGGCGCCACAGCTCGCTCACGCTGAGAACCCGACTGCCCGCACAGGCCACAGCCCTCACCTCTGCAGAGTGACCAGGGTGACCGCGGGGGGCACTAGCACTCCGTCTCCTTGCTGTCCACACGGCTCTGCCGCTGCAGCCTGAAGGATGCAGCCTTCTCACTCCGGGTGACCGGGTGGTCGGTGAGGTCCTCGAAGGACTTCGCGGCTGCACTGCTGGTGGGGAAGGGGTCCTTGTCGAGGCCGTCCTCGTCCGTGTGCGAGTCAGTGCTGGGGTCCTCCTGGATGGTGTCCATCCTCTGGTGCTCCGGCTTCGGGGCCACGGCCACGGGCGGCATGGCAGGGCCTGGGGGCAGCGGCTG